GTGAGATTTGCCGTGGGATGCACGACTCGCGACTTACATTGTAGCGCTCGGGTCGACTTCGACAGCCGATGACTTTGTCTAATTCGTCAAAGCTTGTAATTTAAAAAAAAAACATTTTTAATTTGAATTTGGTCCTAAAGACCTTTTTTGTTTAGGAAAACTAAGATAAAGTGAAAGAAATGATCATCAAGTTTTTTGTACCATTACATTTAAATTAATATTGCAAGCTTTCTTCATAAATTTGTATATAGTGAAGTCATTTATAAAATTGGAAAATTTAGTCACATTTAAATTACTAACCTTTTTATTAACAACCATGTTTGATAGCGGTAATCGATTATTCGGAAATTTAATTTATGTAATATAGTAATCGTATCCAGTAAAATGCAAATTAACCAATGTAATTATATTAATTACAATCGTAAGTAATACGTAAGTTGAACTTATGTTGGATATTAGATTAATTGCGTAATTTACAACGCTTAATCGACTTATATTGTAATGATAATCATTTGTTAAATGAAATAACTAGAAATTATATGCGTCATAATTATATCTAACCCCTACTAGAGTATTACATTATGACGTCAGAGAATGAGCAAAATTTATTAATTAAAGTTCATAGTCAATGATTGTCAATTGAATGTCGAGTAATATTTGTAAAGACGTTATTATAATTAAAACAATAAAAGATACGTTTAATAGACGTGAAAACTTTAAAGGAACTGATTTATATGTCTACTAGCTATTGACCGCGACTCCCTCCGCGTAGAGATTAAAAAAAGTTAGTAGCCTATGTGTTCTTCCAGAATATCGTCTACATCTATACCAAAGTTTATCGAAATCTGTTCAGCTGCTTAGGCTACAAACTCTAACAAACATCCACCCATCCTTTCACATTTTCTCATTTATAATATTAACAAGAAGTAAAAAAGATTGAACAAATATGTCATATTATATGATAGACTTATTGGTTATTTATTCGTTTTATGGGACTTTGTAATCTGTGGTCCGGAGTTCTCTTTGGTCGTATTGTTACAGGTTTTGAGACCACACGAACACTTGCAACATCTACACTGTTGTCTCGATACGTGTATTCAAATCAATTCACACGAGCAGTGGCCGTATGTTACACTTTATAGAGCCAAGCCAGGGGGTGGATTTAATAAAAACAAAAGACAACAGCATGTTGACACGCCGCCCCCGCGCCCGCGACCCGCGTGCCCCCGCACATCGCGTCTGTCAAATAATGATCCTCATTTGTCAAAGGCAATCGTGGCACCGCACTTTGCTACGAACAAGGCTCTTTATTACGCGATCAAATATACTAAAACGTAGGGAAGCAGCGGTTTTATTTATAAAGGACTTGTAAACAATGTATTCTAAATCTCTACGCAATAGACAAAATTAACTGCAACTTTTTTGCTATGGGTAACACACGTTACTTCGATTTTCATGTAATTTTCCTACTTAACTCATAGTACTAATTAAGTTAATTAAAAACGGATAACTATTATAAATAAATTAATGAATTTGTATAGATAGTTGTTGACAGGAGTAAAATTGGAAATTTAAAATTTCGATGCTTGTACGAAATGTAAACGTATTTTAATGCCCGTTATATACATTGGGCTAAGATATCTTAATAATTTTCTTAAGTTTTAAGATTTAACCTTTCCTCTAATAAAAATACAATTGCCTTTAGTATTGTGAGTTGGGACTGAATTGTTTCGACATATAAATAGGGCTCGAAGCTCGCAGGAAGCCGGCGTCTCGTCGCGCCTCTCTCGTCGATCCCGTCATTTCTTTTATATTTTTTCATCAATGTCACACGTGACGCCGGAATGTCATTTTCATACGACGAAAAAAATGTTTATTAAGAGCCGGGGCGCCACGATATTACAATTTTCCACTAGTGATATATGAAAAGTGATTTTTTACGAGAAAATAACAAGGTGAATACGTCGGTGGGATTAAAATACGCGGCCGCGTACTGCGCGTATGTTTTAATAAAACTCGTAATTTGTATATGATTTAATGGAGCGAATATATTAAGAGAAAATACAATAAAGCGTGTGATATTACAAAAGTAACTTTTTTTTTCAAACTGATTTGTTATTGTCCTGACAGTTACGAATGATTTCATTAAGCTTGTTCGTAATTGAATATGTAATTTCAACAGCGTGACATTTTTCACTAACACTTACAATGCATTATGAGTAATCCTCATAGAGGTCTCAGCATCAGTATTTAAGTTACA